TTCAATAGAATAAAAGGCTTTCAAACAGCTACAAATTACCTCCATAATTTCTCATTCCTAATGGTACTAATCCACTTTCTTATTTCTTGCTTTGTTCATTAGCTCTTCTACGATCACACTAATTACACCTATATACCTTTTTTCTTCAGTTTCGCTTATCGAATTCGTGTTAATGTTGGTTTGGTCATTGTAAAAAACCACAAAAAACCACACTTTCAGATGAATAGCACATTAATCCTAATGAGCCTCTTAATCTCACTCGTGCTGAGTGAGTTTGTTGATGTAGATGAAGGTCCACCAACGCACCCTATGATTCGGCCGCATCGCTTGCGGCCACATCATCACAAGCGGGACATAAGTCAGAGCTGTGGAACGGACATGTGGGTTCTTTTTCACATTACAACTTTCAATATATATGAGTTCACAAGGTCGCCTGTCAGATAAATTCTTGCGATTTTTTCATGTAAGCATGGGATGTGCAAAGAATCAACATTTCTAGTGCTTTGTACTAATTGGAGGAAGCTGGCGGTCTACAGGATAGTCTGCTTAGTTTTTTTAGGTCGTAAGATTTTAGTTAAGTTCGAAATTTCGTAAGGAAGTGTTGGTGTAAAGAAGCAAAAACCTTAGATACTTCTTCTTTTTTGCAATGCTGGTTAAGATTTAACAAAGTACGATCACAATTTTGCCCTAAAAATAATTTGTGGTGCTACTTCTCTCACGCATCATATTTATTTAGCCATAAGGTTTTTCGGCCAATCAGGGTGGGTATAAGATGGAGGCTCATTAATAAGTCCAAAAAGAGAAATTCAGGTAGTTTTCTGCTTAACGTGTAAAGTGGTCTCTTTGCGATAATGTGACATGTATAATATCTAGTAAATACCAATAGGTATTTGTAGTCATCTACCAAAGAACACCAATATACCTTTTTCGGACGAAGTGTGATTTTGACGACTTCATTTTCAAACCACCGTATTATGTAGCAGAACCTTATCCTACGGTCTATACGATTTTCATAAGCATTTTGAATAAATTTTTAACAGAGCTCTTAGGATACTATGAGGAGGCGAAATGTTCACCCACGTTCTTATCCAATGACTTCTAATTAAGCCAAAATCATTTTGAAGGAGATAACAAGCGTGATGCTTTATAGAGCAAGAATTTTTTTTCACATGATTTCCAATCAAAACATTTTCAGAAACTTCTATTTTTTAGACTTTCTTTAAAAGCCGAACGTATTTGACAAAAGTATCTAACACTATTGGCCTACTTACTGAAAACTGACCACATAGGAATTTAAAGCCAGATGTTGCAAAAAAGGATTAATTGCACAAAAGGAACGGCTATAGAAAAATTCTTTACCTCTGGCCAATTTCGCTCGCATTCATAGTAAATCAAATCATTTTTCTTCTACGCTCGCCTGTGAACGGAACTACGTGTTGCTAAACAATACTAATGCTTCTGATATAATTTCTTCAATGTTTTCTTGTTGTGTAGTAAGTGTAAGAACCAATCCTAGATTTAACAAGTGCAAAATCGGTAATCACTTTCTCTGCATTTATTTCCTCTTTGTCAATAATTCTGAAACATAAGTTTTGGTCATTTTCATTAGTGTATAAAGTTATGAAATGTACAGAAGAAGTTTGTGGAGAACACTATTGTCCTGATTCCTATATGAGAAATTAAGAAGTTGAATCTTTTAGAATAAATTCACGTTCTGTCTATGTTTAGTTGAGAAGTAGACAAATTTTATAAAGTTTGTTTTGTAAGTACAGCGATATATTTGAAACCATTACAATAATAATTTCATTTTATATATAGCATTGCTTTTTTAAAGAAAAAGGGCTGTAATTACTATTGAAAAACGTTTATCATGTTTCTAAAGAAGTATAATTTCAATAAAAGAGTTTTTGAAATGCAAAAGAACAAATCCGAATAGCTTTAACTCTTTTATCGTAGTTCGAACTCAATATTATAAAAAACATTCGAGCGGAAAAAAATAAATATAATTTTCATAATGATTCATGTGTTCTGAATATAGAATAAGTAATGCTATACATGAGACGTGTTCTTTTCATTGAATGCGCATCACGTAAGTTACATCTGAAAAGTATGATTTTTTCTCAGTGCAGGGGTCTTAGTGTATAAATCTCAACAAATCGTTTATAAAATTGATTCTTTGCAAATTATAATGTTTTATGGGAAAGTTGCTATAAGTCGATAGAGAAGACGTATAAGTTAGTTTCATGATACTATTCAGATGTCCTGAAGACACAATTTTCGTGTACTATCGATGCGATCGAGCTGGTCGAACTAAGTGCCATTGGTATATGCGGATGTGGACAGTGTAAGACTTTGCTTATCTACGCCTTTAAAATAGCTTTGTAATATAATTAATGTACTGCATTAATATTAAGATGGCCTAGAAAGACAGATAAACGAGTAAAAATGTATGGTCTCTGCCAATCGTTTTCATCAAATTTTAATACGTTGTTCTCAATTTTTTATCTTGAAAAACATCCTTTAGTGTTCTCTTTGGTGTGGTACTCGTCAAAGCCGTATTCGCATGCTTCGTATCATTCTTTCGTTGCGTATGCTGTTGATATGGACAACGGAGAGCTAAAGGAACAGCAGTGTCAAGATGAAAGCGAAGTGGATTGCAAATCATCGTTTGGCCAACAACCGATTGCCTCACTTATCGTCGCCAAAAACACCACCTCATAGCTAATCCGACATTTATGTATATACAGCGGACAGAGATTTGCTCAAGTTTTTAATTGCTCAATTTTGCTTATGAATCTTATTGATTTCATAAATATTTAGACTTTTATAATGTCCTAGTGCACTTCACAATGATACCAACAAAAGAAGGGTACTTGGCTCAGGCGGCGAACCGAAATGTTAATACCGACGTAAAGAGTTTGAAGCAACTTGAAACGTTGACTCCAATTCTGCCTTCCGTACCTGCGAGGCGTTTCTCCGAAAAAAAGTTATGAAGGTTTTTTGTACCAGATTTAGCCTGTATGGCTCTTCAGTAATTGCTCTACAACATCAGAATCAACCTAAAAACAGGCAAGGAAAAAGATTCTTTATTATACAACCTCGCGTTGCT